GGAACAGGAGTGCTCGAACGCCATCGTTGATGGTGCGAAGAACACGTTCGTCCGTTTTGCTGGGACGTGTAAGGACACGTTAGTCGCAACATAATGCCGTGCGGTGGCGAATCTAGGATTTTAGATCAGGGTATGCCGTCAAAAAAAATTTCATATATAAATCGGTAAAATCATTTGACAATTCGGTAACAATTATGAAATTTGCAATGTAATTCGGCATATATACACTAAATAACACGATAAGTTTTAAATTTGAAGATTAAATTGAAAAACATCCACAACATTACAATATGAATAGTTCAGGCATCATAATAATAGCTCCAAATATATGCATAAAAGAGAGTAAAAGACTTACAATACTACTTATCTGACTTTTTTAGCCGACGCTTTCTATGGGACATGAATGCGTTGATAATATCACCTTCTTCCAGCCAATTATTAAAAAGGGATGCAATATCTCCATCTCTCTTGATAACTACACAATTATTAAAAACACAATACCAAACAATTAAACAAATTGCAAGTGCACGGATTGAATCCTCAATCCTCATAAGTGATGACACAAACACGATACTAAATTGTTGATCAATTTCGGTTGTCTCTGATGTTGAGCAAATCTCCGACCTCACTGCATACTATTGATGACCGGATAATATTAGCCATGGATATAAACATGATCTTTCTATAGAAGATGAATAGTAAAAAAAGAGATTGATTCTCACCGCGGTGGCTCAGGTAGTCGGACTATATATGCACGTTAACCGTGCACGCGCATTAGGCCGATCCTCCATGTCACGTACTCGGCAGTCGGCGCCGCGAAGATTCAAGCCTCGAGACGGCGGCCAGCGGGCGAGACTCTAATCTGCGATACTAGTAGATCAATAGGAAGTCCAGGCGTCGGCGGTCTGGAACTGCGCGTTCTAAGGACTGGACCTTGACTTTTCGAATTTTCGCCTGGCGTCCTTATGGCCGCGTGGGCAGGACCTGGGCTTCCCATCCGTATGGCCGCGTGGGCCTGGAAACCAGGAAAGTCCATCATCTCTCGGCAAGGAGCAACTGCTGCGTTCGTTTTCCATGGTGCAGATACGGTCTTTTTTGTTTTTTACAAATACAGATGTATATACATGAAAGCTATTGCTGGATCAGCAGGGTATGCCAGTGCATACCTGGCATACCCTGTAGCTCCGCCCCTGATGCCGTGTATGGCGTAGAACACACGAGAAGCAGAATTATCAAATTCCTTGCCATTGTCTGTCTGAACACACATGATCGGATGCTGAAACTGTGTGTTGACAAAAGCATGAAAAGAAATGATAGTAGGGAGGACATCAGACTTATGCCGCAATGGAAAGGTCCACACATAATGAGAAAAATCATCAAGAATTACTTGTAGCCTGAGTTGCTTATTATGGGCGAGGTCCATACATCACAATACAAAAGTTGGAAAGGGAAAGCAGAAACATTTGGGGACTCATGGAATGGCAGCCGCACGTGCTTACCAATTTGACATGCATGACAAGTATGTGGACTGGACTTGGTGCAGGTGAAACCAATGGAACGAGACAGGTGCTGGAGCGCGTCCCGGCCGGGGTGACCAAGCCGGGCGTGCCAGAGGTCAGCAGCCGTTGAAGAAAGAAGAGCCTGCGCCGATTCCGAAGACGACGTGCCCAGAGGAGTGCGCAAGGGGTAGATCTCTCCAGACGAGTCACATCGGAGGATAGCCATCCTGGTTCGTAGATCCTTGATGGTGAATCCCCAGGGATCAAAGTGAATCCCCAGGGATCAAATTCAACAGACACAGAGTTGTCACGGGTTAATGCACGAACATAGATGAGATTCTTCACCAATTGAGGGGCAATCAAAACATTATTAAGGCGCAGTGAAGAAGAAGCGGTGGGAATAATGGAGGTGCCAGTGCAGGATGCCGTCAAATGGCTGCCGTTGCCGACAACAATTTGACGGGGAACAGTAGATGAAGTGCGAGAGGAAAGAATACCAGAGTGCGACGCCATGTGGGAGGTTGCGCCGGTGTCGAGAAACCAGTCACTGCCGCCACCGCTGGGAGTGTTCAAGGACATCCCGTTGAGCGTCGTGTAGAGCCCCGGCGGTATGGTGCCCGGGTCTTGCTGTGGCGGCGGCGCAGTGAGGGCCGTCATGGCGAATGGAGGAGCAGCACCGGGGCGAGGCGAGAGAATGCCTGGGCGCCACGAATTGAGCAGCCACGCTTGGACCACCTCTTGCCACGGATTGTACGACGACACCCATCAAGGGCGGAGGGGGCCCGCCAGGCCGGGTTGAGACGCGGCGCGCGATCGGCGGTTGCGGTTGTCCGCCTTGCGCTTCTTGCGGCGGTCACCACCGCCACTAGGAGACGCAGTGGACGCAGGCGCAGGCGAGGACGGTGGAGGAGCCGGTGCAGACTTGACGGTGGAGGCGTAGCAAGTAGGACTTGGTGTAGAGGAACGTCGGCGGCGGCGACATGGTGGAGAGCACGGCAATGGCTTGACTAAACTTGCTGTTCAGACCACGCAAGGTGTTGATGACGAGGCCCGCGCGGCGAGACGCTTGAGGCGGCCACAAGATTTCGCCCGATGGACATGTCGCCCTGGAAGAGACTATGAAACTCTTGCTGGGTGTATACAGCGCGTTGAAGGCTGTTGTCCAGGAATTGCCCAGTGATGGCAGACCACGCGGAATAGGCAGTGTTGCGAGGTTTGAAGACATCACTCCAGATTTCCTTGGACACCGTGGAATACAGCCACGACATGATGCAGGAATCAATCTGCAACCACTCGGGATCATCAATCATGGCTGCGGCATCAACCGTGCCATCGATGTGATTCATCAGCCCGAACTTCTGGAATGTCAGCTCGAAGAAGGAGCGCCACTGACAAAAATTGCCGTCATCGGTGGCAAGGGTGACAGGAACGTGGCTGCGGATGTTGATGAGAACGAGTGTGGAGGCTGAGGGAGGGGAAGGTTCAGCGGCGGCGGCGAAGGGATTAGAGGAGATGGAGCCGGTGGGACTCGCCATGTCTGGTGAGCAGCGGAAGGTGAGTAATTGGATCAAAGGTCGACAGATACAGAGAAGAGTTTGGCAAGAATGACCGCAGCTTGTATTACACTCGTTGAGGTTACATATACAGGAGCTTTAGCTCTGGCCAGCCACGCATGAGTACATGCAGATCCTACAAAGAAGGAGATCCTACGAAAGAGGAGAGGTGGCTGGCCGGTTACACAGAATGAACGGAGTAGAGCTAATCTAGCTATCCTATACATGCTTGTTGACAGTCAGACTAAATCTTGAGGTGACACATGGTTCAAAGCCTATCTCCCTTAACCAAATTGTGCTTATGTACAATGGATGCCTAAGGAGCGAGTAATAGACTGCTTTACTGCTATCTTCTCTAAAAACAGAGTTCTGGGGACTGCTACTGTGCTGCCCCGTGTACAAACTGTCAAGTCAGCTCATACAAGTGTCACTGGTGATGATTCACCATTCTTGGATGCTGATTATGAACCACAACGTTATGTTCCAGTAAAACGAAAAGTTGTTTAGCACAAGTGCTGCGTTGGGATGGAGATCTCGGTGACTTCCTCTGGCGCCCGTCACCATGACTAGTCCCCGCCTTCCTCCATGGAGCTCTCCGGCCTCAACTTCAGACCAGGCCAAGTCGTTGAAGCTGAAATCCTCCACAAGTTCGGATCCCCGGTTTGTCATGATCCATCTTCTTCCTCTCAGGAGTTTTTCATCGTGCTCTCGTTTGGTCGATGTCAGTTTCGTTTGTCGGAGCAGAATGCTGCTGTCATTCTTCAATCTGTGATTGGAGGGCGTGCTGATGCCTTTTGCCTTTGTCCGCTGGGTGATCGTGTTTTTCGTTTCTCCGTCTCCTCACCGCCGGTGGGGTTTCATATCTATAAGCTTAGATCTTTTGAATGTTCTCAGTTCAAGCTTTTCTTCAACCTTTGGCATCAGGGGGCCAGATTACTTGTCTGAATTTCATCGTTGGCAATCTGAGGAGGCTGCCAAATGGACCACTATTTCCCGGCGATCACCTCCTTCGCCGCTCACCGGCGCTAACAAGGTTCCGGTCCAGAATTGGTGCCATGGCTAGCCAAAGGTTTTAAATTCGCCCAACGGTCGCCGTATTCAAACTAGCTGTTAATCAGTACTTTCTCGCCTCAATTATGGCGCTAAACTTTGGGCCCAACAGTTATTCTCAATGAATGCCGCAAAGCCTGGTGTTCTTGTCCGACCGCCGCGTAATCCTGGGCCTCTTTCCTTTTGTGTGCGATGCTTGGCCCTCAGAATGCTCTCAGATGTAAAGCCTGCTTATGTTTCGGTCATACTTCTGGAAACTGCAATCTCGCGCCTCGATTGACGCACCCTTTTGCGGAACGTTCAAGAGATGGCTCTCCCAAAACTATGACAGGTGGGACTGAGCCCCAACCGCGGCGCTTCGTTTCCTTTGGGGACTTATTTAATCATTTTACTGGCATTCTCCCCCTTCCCCTGTTATCGTCCCATGGAGTCACCCGTGGAGTATCACGGCGCCTGACTTCATCGACGACGGCGACGAGGAGGTGCCGCACCAAGAGGAGGTGCTGCATCTCTCGGCCGTTGCGTCTGTGTGTCCGCAGGTTTTCAAGTGCTTCGGTGAGTTTGCCTTCGCTGTTCTTGGCATTAACCCACCCAAATCCATTGTTCATGTTCTTTGGGATGAGAAAACCCCAGTTGCTACAATACTTTCTTCTCCTCCGCAGCAATCCATGGCTTTTCGGCTTGTTGCCCGAACCTATGTTACACGGATACGTCCAGGAAGGCGCGTATCGCGTATCCGATACGTATCGGATACGGATACGTGTCCGATACGCCAAGGATACGTATCGTCGGAATATCCGAATTTTAATAATTTTCGTGAATATTGGATACGTGGGCTGATACGTATCGGCCTTATGGATACGGCCCGGCCCAATAACAGAGTCACATACAAACAGCGATGCAACACCGACGCCCTAGCGAGACGTTGTCCTTCCCCCGCGGCGACGCCTTGCCGCCGCCGGCGGAGCACGAAACGGAAGCCCTATGGGGCGCGACGCTGCAACTCCTCCGCTCCTCCTCGTCCTCCTCCCACTTCCCGACATCCGCCTCCCGCTCCCGCTCCTCCACGCCCGCCGCCGACTCCAACAACTCCTCCGCTCTCCTCGCCGACGAGGAGGACGAGGACGTGGCCGCCGCGCTCGACCCGCTGCTCACCGTCGCCACCACCACGGCCTCCGCCACCGAGGGCGATTCTCTCGCCAACCCCGACGACGACCGCATCGATGAGCTCCACGTGTTGGACGAGGACGCCGCGGGCGCCGACGCGGCCGACTCCGTCTACGCCTCTACGGCGGGGGCTGCCACGCCCCTCATCTGGGACCACGTCGCCGGCGTCGCTCGCCTGCCGTTCCGCCTCCCCGCCTCCGCCGAATCCCTGCCCGCGGGGCTGCCGCGCCTCGACTCCCCGTGCCGGATAGCCGCCGCGGCCTTCAGATATCTGCTGTTACAGTACTCCTTTGTCCTCTCCTCTCCTCATCTCCTGTCTACTTCAGCGTTCAAATTCTGGACTTGGATATCTGCAAGACTGCAATTGGCAAGGTGATGTACTGAACTACTACTGAGTAGTCTAGTTTTAGTAATAAATTGATTGATAGTTGGTTGTTTTTTCTGTGCAAATTCTGGACAGTCTTGGAGAACTCGAGAATGGACAATTGAAGATTTGAAGAATGGAGATGCTTCCGGAGTTCCGCTCTTTGCTTTGGCTGGTACTTGCTAATTTGCTATTGCAAGTTAATTTACTACTTTCACTCTTTCACAATTTTAATATGCGTTATTATCTATATTTATTAAAAAAACAGTAAAACGTATCCGCGTATCGGGTTTCTTAGGAAATTGCCGTATCCGCGTATCCGTATCCTTCCGATACCGATACGCGTATCCGTATCCGTGCAACTTAGGCCCGAACCGTTCATGCCCCTAGGGGCTCAGCGGCGCGTGGTGCATGGGAAACCGGTCATGAGAAGGGTGGTGATTGGACATGTGCCGCAGAGGAGCAATGATCTTGCCGTCGCGTATCTACAGCCAATGCCGTTAGGTCCTATCAATTTCATGGCCGTCCACAACATCATCGAGGATTTTCTGCGCAACAGAGGTATTGGTTTTCGCTCCTTGCAGCCATGTCCTTTTGGTCAAGCATACGTCCGCTTCAACTACATTTTCGAGCGAGATTTGCTGATTCAAGAAGGCCCGCATCACTATGGCAATGGTACAATTTCGTTTGTGCCCCAGAACAAAGCATGGAACAATCGCACGGCAATCATGACTCACGAAGTGTGGCTTATGATGCTTGGTCTGAATCTGGACCTTTGGAATCAACCGCCGATTGAGAAGGCAGTCTCTTCGTTTGGCAGACTCCTTATTTGGGAAGAAGACCTTTTTTACATGTCCAGAGAGCTATTGTTAAGGTCCGAGTCTCAAGCCTAAAGGACATCCCATGGTTTTTTGTATTCACCGAGGGGGGCTCACTTTGAATCCCAGAGTTAGTGTTCAATGTGAAATCTTACAGGCTAGGATGCTTGGTGGAGCTGCAGAGGATGAGCAGTTCCCTCCTGACGATAATGACTTTGATCCCTACAATTTTCATTTCCATGGTTTTGGTCAGATGGGTCATGGGCCTCCTCCTTCACCTGAACAGCACATTCCTGTCCCACCCAATATCGATATCCTTGCTGCAATGGGGTGGGAGCAGTGGCAGAACCAGGTTGCCTAGGATCAGAACAACAATGTGCCTAACTTGATTCCCATTCCAGAGAATCCAGCCCCCTCCTGAAATTCATATGCCAGTTGAGGAGGTTGTTCAGGCTGAAGGACACCCTGGTGAAGTTCAGGTTCAGAATGGTGCTGATGATGTCTTAGCCATGTATGACTTAACAGACCAATCTGAGGAGGAACCCCAAATGCCACCATTGATGGATAACCTAGAAGTGGAGATGCCCCCTTTTCCAAACATGTAGAACCTGAAGCCCTTGCAAGTAGAAGAAGTGCAGCTTGAAGATCTTGTTGACTTCAATGATTTGGTACTAGACCAGCCTCTTCCACCACAACAGTTTGAAATTGTGCAGTTGGGCTTTGTTGACACCTTCATCCCCCCAGTGGACCCAATGCAGCACTTGGGGAAAGCAGCTTTAGGCCCAAGCCCAGATGCAGTAAGGCTTTGGACCAAATTCTTCAGTTGTGTGGATCAGTCCCTGCCAACTGTGACTATCCCCACTCAGTTGATGAATTTATTCACCCTCTTGATGATGAAGCAGTCCTCCTTTGAATGGGCAAAAAGTTTTCTTCAGTCCCCTGCCTGGCAGACCATAGCCCAGTCTTCGCTGGGTAAAGTTTTCTCCTTTGCTCTTCCTCGGGTCAAGCCATCTGTAATAATTATTGATATCACTTGTTCTGATTCAGACCGTGATCTCTGTCCTGAACCTGTTGATACAGGCTTTATTGATGCTACTGATGTTGTCAACCTTCCAGACCCTTCACGCCGTGTTTAGTTCCCACCCCAAATTCCAAAAAAGTGCTACAGTACCCATCACATCGAATCTTGCGATACGTGCATAGAGTATTAAATGTAGACGAAAAAAAACTAATTGCACAGTTTGGTTGGAAATCACGAGACGAACGTTTTGAGCCTAATTAGTCCATGATTGAACACTAATTGCCAAATAAAAACGAAAATGTTACAATAGCCCAAATTTCCAAATTCCCCAAACTAAACACGCGCTCATTTGTGGTCACGCCTCTGGAGCCTGCTTCTTCACTGCTCCAGACCCCACCACCACCTCAGGCTCAGTCCAAGACTGCCCCACATGCCAAGCGGGGTAAGTCCAAAACCTTGCACATTTCTGATGAAGACCTCAGTAGGGTGATAGGCTTCATTCTCAATTCAAAGGTTTTAAGTCTCCATCTTGCAAGGGCAAAAACTGCCTTGGATGTTCATCTAATCCACCTACTTTATCTATCACTGTAGTTCGGGACCTGGGCACCTCCTTCTGCAAGCTCAATCCGGACACCCTCACAGATGAGAAGCTCACTTCCAAGCCTTCCAAGAAAGGAGCAGTTGGCAGGCCACAAGCCAAGAAGCCCAAGCAATCCAGGGAGGATCCAGCTGAGGGATCCAAGAAGAAAGAGAGCAAGAAGTGATCCCCATCTTAGCTATCTAAGATGCCTCTTTTGTTTAATCTTTGGTTTAAATGAGTAGTAAACTGTGGAAAGTACTCAGTTGGAACATATGGGGTATCAACTCCGAGAAGAAATGAAATGCAATATCGTGTAACTGAAACTAGTTGTGATGTTATCTGTTTGCAGGAGATTAAGAGATCTCACTTTGACAGTGCTTTTCTTCGTCTTTTCTGCCCAGCTTCATTCGATTGCTTTGCATTTTTGCCTTCTAATGGTGCATCTGGGGGATCTATTATCATCTGGGAAAGTGTTGTTGACACTGGATTGATCCCGGATTACACACCAGCTAGGCCTAGATCGCCCGGGTCTTCACGGACCGAAGAACGCAGCAGATAACCAACACGCTTTCGCGGTGAAGAGCGACAAGGTTTACGAGCAAACCACCAAAAGATAACCAACGTGCTTGCGTGACGAAGAACAGGCTAGTTTTCAGGCAAACTAACCAAGAAACCGTCGAAGCTCTCGCCCAGGAGGGACCCGTCGGGGCAAGGACGTCGCCGGGTTACCCTAGGTCGGCTGGCAAGCCTAGGGCACCATCCTTGGTCGTCGGATCTAAGAGATGAACCACATGAGGACAGGAAAAGAGGATAAAAGGGTTAGAGTAGATTGATTTGTGTTTTGATAATTGGGTGTTGGATCCCTCAATCGGTCGTCACCCTTTATATTTATAGGGTGGCTGGTCTTGCAGAAATATCGGTCTCGTGCTCTGGCTAAGACCGAATAAATTGATCTCAATTCTATTCGTCCACCGTATCGGCAGCGTCCGACTCGAATAGAGCCACAACTCCATCATTTCCATGTACGTCATCATGTCTTTGCACGTATTTGTTGAAGTCTGGATCTTGCACGTATAAAAAATAATTAATACATGATGGCCGGTCAATCTATTGACGCCTTGATGGCAAGTGCATGTACTCGACACAGCATGGCAAGTGCATGTACTCGACACAGCCAAGGAATGCATGTACTCGACACACCTTGGTTGGAAATAGTTGGACACTGGCTTGCAGCTTTCAGCTTTATCTCCACTTGCAGCAACTCCTCCCTCCTCATTTTGTAAAGAGGGTTGAGCCAAATTTTCAACGACAATCAGCTCGACAACTTCATTAAGCAGGACTTCCATGGAGCAAATTAGAATTGATGTTTGCTTGTCGACCTCAGTTTGTAGGTGACCAAGGGTCTATGATCCATCTTTACTGGGCCGATTTGAGAAATCTGTCTTGCCGTTGTTTAACGCCATGGACAGCAGTAATAACGGCTACTGACTGTTCTTCCCTTCTCACACAAAGACTCCAACATGTAGCTGGAATACGCACCAAGTTGCACACATAAATTGTCACGGATGAATGCTAATATATAGCACCTTGGAATCTAAATCCCAACTATCCAATCGGCCCAAAAGTAAAGCAAGACAATTGCTAGACATTTGCATGTATGTTGCTAGCAGCACGATTATAACACATTTAATCAGCCAGATGTGATTAAGGAACAATGGCGCCGGCCATGTATATTTAATCGGCCGAATTTGATTAAAGGCGATAAAATAAAACATATCGGCCATGTATATGTCTTCATCTTGCCCCAAATCAAGCTATATGCATGACTTATCATGAATAAACACCAACAGCACTTTGGAAACTAATAAGTCCCATGTCAAATCGGCTCAATGGTAGGACTGGACCCTTGCTGACCTTCTGCATGCAAGCAGCTAGAAAGCACGATTATAACACGTTTAATCGGCCAAATTTGATTAAGAAAGTAGTGGCCATGATTAAAGCATGCATACATAATCGGCTAATTTCATAAAAATGAACGTCGGCCATATAACTTTCTGCTAAAGACTATAATCAGGTTATCAACCAATTTTTGTTTATCCAGACGTGTATCATGCCCCCCCGGGCCTTAAAGCCGCAAAAGTAAATTCTTTGGAGGGTCTTCTCATAGCACGATGGTTGCAAGCATTCATCGGCTATTATTATGCTAAGGGCGATAACAAAGTATCGGCCATATAAATTCATCCACAAGAGTATGCATAGCCGAAATAAAGTATTTCGGCTCTTGACATAGAAAGTTATCGATAAGCAAAATTATTTGGCAACCCTCCATAATATAAAGATCCATACCAAGAATCAAAATAAGAAGTTGAAGGATAACCATGCATATCTGGGAATGAATTCCACATAGACATAGGTAGAGAATACGGATAATGCCATGACTAATAATTTTGATGATCCTGTGCAAACCTCCAACTTGGCAATCGCTTCTTGAATCTTCTTCTCTCCTTTGCCTTCGTTGCACCACTTGCTTGAGCATCATCCTTCTGAGCTTGAATATTCCCTTTAGGAACCCACACTAAGCCCTTTTCTTTCAGCTTCTCAGCACTAAGCTTTTGTAACTTGTTTTCTTACCACTTTGGTAAACCGAATGAGCATCTCAATTTTCTTTTTGTTTTGAACAATGGCAACTCTTCTTTGATTTTAGGCACTCTCACCCTCTTTTGTTTAGATTTGGCACCTAGATTATCAATAGATGATTTTCTCATGTCTTTGCCATCAATAGCCGGATTTTTCAGCAATAGCCGGCCTTTCAATGGTTGAATTCAAATCTGAACTTTTCTTCTTTCGGCCATCATACTTCATACGATAAACTTGTTTTACCACCTTCTTCTTATGTTGAGCTCTGGACGGATTTTGATCAAAACGGTCTTTACAATATGATGATTTCTCTGAGTATCTAGGAGCTGCATACTCTATGTATTATGGCCTATAATATGATGGAACATGTGTCTCTTGATCAACCCAGCCCCAAGATAAATAAGGATAAAAATATGTGGGTTGTGGTCCATATGACATGGAAATTGGCTGCTCAAACGGAGAATATGATGCCGCTGTGTGAGATCTATCTTCTTGCCAGTTCCAATCTTGAGACTTGCGCTTTGGAGGCAAACTTGATGATTGGACCTTCATTGGCCGATTGGTGACATTTGCTTCTGCTTTCTTCTTGTATTTAGCTAGAAGTTCCTCAAAGCTGAACTTCGGCATTCTACTCTTCTGCTTGTCACGGCCTTTACCTCCAATAGCTATGTGAGCATCTACCCTTTTCTCCTTGTCTTGACAGACATGCTTCAATGGAGGATCTTTAGCCGATTCCTCTGGCTCAATGGGATCAATCGGCCTTTACTTCAGTTGGAGAGATTTCACCTGCCCCCCAGTGTCTTCTGGAACTGTGATAACTTTGTTGTCCTCTAAAATATCTTCTTTCTGTAATTCATGGACAACAACCTTGTCTTCACTTAAGGATATCACATCTCTCTCTTGGGCATTCGAGCCTTGAGCTTTGAGTGAATTGGCTAATGCAAGCCGATTCGAAACCTGTTTGCCATCAAGACCAATTGAATTCAAGTGGTCCATTTGTTGAGCTTTAGAAAATCTCAATCGTCCTTTATCAATGGTCTATTGGATCACTCGACGAAACACATTGCAATTAAAAGTATTATGATCAGAAGAATTGTGACACTTGCAATATGTAAGCTCTTCTAAGTTTTGAATAGATGGCAAAGCATTGTGATCAATGATTCTAATAAAATTATTCTTGAGTAAGATATCAAAGATATGATCACAAAAAGTAAAGTCAAAGGTGTATTTTGATTTCTTCAGCCGATTCTTTTGTGGAGTTGGCTTTAAAGCTAGGCAAACGAAGGGATCAAATTTAATATCAATCCATTCGGTCACACCTTTGCAATTGCTTTTGGGAAGTCTCAACTTTGACAAATTAGCACTATCGGCCTTACCATCCGGCATCATATGTTGGCCGATCGAATCTGAATTTGTTTTATCTTCAACAAATAAAATGCCATTCTCAACCGATCTTTTACAACTACTACCAAGGATATCTCTAATAGATGTAAAAATTGAAACAGTATGATTGGATAGGAATTTGAGCAAAATACTTGTGTTTTCTATCTTATTGATCATGTTGGAGAAGTGCACATCCTTGATTTGAATGATGTTGCTCTTCATCTCCAGAGAACGATCAATAATAGGTGCCAAATTACCCGAAAGTGCTTTGTCAGCTACTGGAACAGAGGAAGTCGGCTAGGTCGACTTGGGCACTAGAAGGAAAGCGCAACAGGGGCAGTCGGCCTGGCCGACTGGGCAGTCGGCCTGGCCGACTGGGCAGTCGGCCTGGCCGACTGGGCAGTCGGCCTTTGGCCGACTGGGAAGTCGGCCTAGCAGTCGGCTCAGCCAACTTTAAAGTCGGCTCAGCCGATTCTGAGCGGGCAGACAACCTTCCTTTCTTGATTGTAGGGGTTTGATCTCCATCAATGATGTAGTAATCACTAGATAAATGTACAACCCCTTTAACTCCTGAAAAATTAAGTGTAGCTATTTTCTTGCGCTTCTCATGCTTTTCTGTAGTAAGACTTGTTTCTTGATATGTGATTGATTCGGAAAGGATATTATGTTGTTCGGCTTTTGTAGCCGAACCTTTGCTTACAGCCAAATAAATTTTGACTTTACTCACTGTATTAATGGGCAAAGCTTTTTTTCATACTCATGGCCGATGACTCATATGTGATCGGCCACTTGCTAGTACTCCCAAAGTATTTATGGAATAAATCTTCCCTTTGCTTCCCAAGTTTTCTTTCAAACTCTAACATTTCTTTTTTTGAAATCAATGTCTGACTGAGACTATTTTGCTAAATTCTTATTGATTTGACTTGGGTTGCTAGCAATGTATGAAGCTAAATCATGAGTATGAATATTTACCCACCTTTCATTGACTTGGCTCGAGTTAGGAGCAACATAAGAAGCCGAATCGTGAGTATTACCATTAGCACACCTTGCTGAATTTTTATTAATTCGGCTCGAGTTAGGAGTAACATATGAAGCCGAATTATGGATAGGAGTATTGGCATATGGTGCTGAATTTTGAGAGCAATTGGCTAAATAATTATTGTC